CGATGAGATTCAATAAGCCTTTTCAATCGAGTATTCAAATCCTGGAAAAGAATTTCTGCTCCGGAAATATGATTACACCGACGCAATGTTTTGGCGGAGTAAGGTGCAATGCGAAACCATAAAGATTACATTTTGTCGAAGTAGATCTAGACTTCAGGGCACAATGGGAGGGTACATCTATACAGAATTTCCATACGATAAACAAGGAACACCATACCTCTTTAGGTTTCGGCTGCGAATTAAGCGGTGCTGCTGCAATATCGAAAGAATGTTTGGTTAGCTTCATCTCCAGTTCACTTGGCTTGTAACCGTTCACGCGATCCACCTCTTTCCCATCCTGATGTAAGTAATAATTAGGTTCGTGTTTAAATATCTTGAATAAAACCACTCAGGGGTAAGTTATGATTCAAAAGATGAGGCAGGAATTCAATCCTTACCTTGAAGTACACCACCGTCGGAGCAGCTGCGATCGAATGCGTTGCAGAAACTTCTGCTACACCCTCTGCATCAATAAATGCAAATCCCACGGAAGGAATCGACTTCGCGTCCTCCTAGAGTGCGAAATGAATCTCCACGAAAACGTGTTTATAGTGGCGATAGGAAAACAACCTCCAGGTCCTTTAAAACCTTGTTCACTTGCTCGCAAGAAGCCGCCCATGGCGCGTAGAAGTGCACAATAGATAACCTATAAGAAAAGGCAATTAATCTAGCTCAGAGGGCACGATAAGATCACAAAATGAACGATTACAACCTCTATCCTTTTTCCACCCCTCAACAGACTCATGAAAATAGAACTATAATTTGTTTCAAGAAAACAAAAACTCGGGCGTGTTCTTTTGCTTCGAAGCTAGGTGAGTATCACGGAACAGTTGTTTAGAGGAAGGGACCATCCCATCGGAGCCTCTTCTAATATTAATCCGCACCTATCTCTGTTGGCCGATATACCTGCAGCAGAAAATGTTGGTATTCTTATTCCTTGAAACCCCATTCAGAATCCAATGAGCATATCTCAGTTGGAATCTGGTGCTATACAAGTAGGGTGGGCACGCCGCATTTTTTGAACAGAAATGTATGTAAGTGGGACTGCTGCCCGCTACTATACTGTCACGAGAATCGGGGAATTCGTGAGCCAGGGGGAGTGTAGCCAATCTAGGGGGTGGGGGGTGAGGGCAGTCACTTGACATGCGTGAAAAGCTGGGCGTGCCCACCCCACTTGTATAGTTGTTCACGTGGAACTGTATCGCACTTCGAAATTATACCTACAATAGAATTGTGTACGATGTGGAATGGCATCACTTCATCTCCCAGGTTTGCCCAGCCCCAGCCCAGTGTTTTTTAATTGGCTGGCGAAATGTAACGAATGAATCTTGAATTTAATCCAGTAAAGCTGAATGCAATCCCCCGCTCTCTCTAAGTACGTGGGAGGAATCTAATCACCTACTACTAATGAAAATTAGCTGCACCATGTTTTTCACAATCAGTAAAACAATGAGAGGCATTTCGTTCACAAGTATTTCCGCTGGTAGTCGAACAGTCCGTCATGCTTCATTTCAGAGAGGGATTAGTTTCATCATGAGCCTTAAAGACTCAAATGACCTCGAGAACGAGAATGAGGTTTGGCTACATGGCGAGCTTTTATCTAATATGTCGCGCGCTCGCATGAAAAACTAATGCTGATAGGGAATTGCCGTTTATTGGAACGGTAATCCCGCAATTGGACAATGACGTGACGAACACCCATGAAATCTGATGGTATAAGCCGTTGTGGATAAGGGCTTTAGAGTAAAGAAATCTTTTTTTGTTTTTTCGTGGGAAATACGTCTCCTTCCAGCTTGACTTGTCCAGTAGATCGAATAACATCGCCTTTTCCGAGAAATGAACATATGGTGTCCGCGTGCCCATAGTAACTAATGGGGTTGTGGAAACAATATTAATGATGTAACTAGATCATACCTGTGCTCGGAAATGAACTTCTTGAAGTCACTAGCGCTAGTGAGCTGAGTGATAGCCATCCACTGAAACATCACATCTCAAACTATAAAGTATTGCATAGAGCTGAAAAAGAGTGCAATAAGAAAGAAAAATGACGCAATGTTCAAATATTCTCAAGAAACGGAATATGCCGTCAACTCAACTCAAATTGTGTAGTTCACGTACAATGCGCGCGAGTTTGTGGCGTAGCAGCTGGTGCTCGAATAGTGGTTCAATTGAAAGCTACCCGTCATTTGGCTAGGTGTTCTGGCATGTGGTGCCACTTGCCGGGAGACATTCACTTCTCCTCCTAGGTCAAATCACCGGAGTGCGCGATTATTGAAGCCTGAGGGTTAGATAAGGCAAAGGGTTAAGTTTGTTACGATCATAGCAGAGGTGTCGTAATCTGAGGTGACCTGGCCTGAGGAGGAGCTCTGAAACACATCCCAACTTGGTAAAATCTCGGGTGGAGCCTCGCCAAAGTCACCAAATCTTCAGTCCATCCGGCTCGGTCAGTTGGATTAGCACCTACACTGCATACGTCCTAAAAGAGAGTGAGAAAAGTCAGTAAAGTCCTTGACAGGAAGATGAGTAATCAAGGTAAGGGTAAGAGGACTTGTAACTCCCCTCACCATCATTCGCTGATCTCCCATAAGGGTGCTTTCCCTCAATTAGCTACACTCTGATAAAGGTTTGGTTTCTGGCAGGCGGCATCGAGAATAGCATGCTTCGTTAGGACTCCGTTCACCACCTCCATCGATTTCCTCGCCTAACTCGTCTAGCTATCTTTGGAACTGCACTTTCCTATTGGGACATTCGACTAAGCTTATCTCAGAACGTCAGCATCCTACTTACTATAAAGCGCTTCGTCTGTCGTTCTGTCTGTCGTTCTGTATGTCTGTCACGAAATTCCCTAGCTCCTCGGGATCCGCCTGGAGGGACCGGGTCAAGTGTGGGACGGGTGGGCAAGGTCTCACGAAGTACAAAACACACATCAGCTAAGCGGAGCCCCGCCCACAGTGGGCGTGGCGTGCGTCGACATGAAGTGTACTGACGACCGAGATTTTCAATTCTCTTAGAAAACGACCTTGAAACTGGGCCAAAAAGTGGTAAAGGTGTGCATTGGTAAGTCACATCGAATTAGGGAGACCCACCCCCGGTGGGCGGGGCGTTCTCCAAAAAAGCAGTGCTTTATGAAAAATTTCATAACTCGGTTGGGAGAAAGCCTACAGAGCAGAAAACAATTGGTGTAGGGGAGCAATGTCTAAGGTGTCAGCATACATGACGTGGGCGGAGGCCTGCCCAGAATGGGCGGGCGCGCTCTGAAGTGTACAGCATTTTCTACAAGCCCTCATAATTCGGGTCGGGGAAGTCTTAAAGAGCCGGAAAAAGGTGGATAGAGGTGGATGGAGGAGTGGAGGCCAGCTGTCATCGGTGGGCGGGGCTTGACAAAGTGGGCGGAGTTTGCCAAAAGGGTCGCAATTCGGTTCCAAGAAGTCCTAGAGATAGAGGAAAACGGGGTTAGAGGTTGGCGAAAGGAAGGGGGCCAAATGCTATTGGTGGGCGGGGCACGCACCGAAGGCGGAGTTTGCCACGAGATTTATTGTCCGGAAGCAGTCCGGAGACCGGGAAAAAGAGGATAATGGTTGACGAAGAAAAAGAGGTTGAAAGCCGTCGATGATGGAGCGGATAGAATTTAGCTGAGAATTCAGATATTCGTGGTGTATCAAGCCAAATTTGAAAATTTTCGTCGCACCATCAAAATTCGCCGCAGATCTGTGTTGCGCGCGCAATGCGTGCGGCGCCAACTGGTTCATAATAAAATGGTATAGTTCATGAAGTAAGCTGCAGATGCAAACGAGTCACCTAATTCGCTTAAATTACTAAACAACGCCACTAACTTTTCGATAGAAGAAGAATGTGTGGCGCGCCCCAGAAGGGGTTGACAAAGGTCAAAAAGTTGTACTTTGTTTTTTTGCACCCTCAAACCGAGACTTTGTGGTATGGTAAGGGGTTTGGAGGATACCCTACCTGGGCTCATGAATGACAGCAATGTGTCTTTGCATATCGGAAAAAGTTCAAAGAGGATTTACGATAAGGTCGAAGGTCGGAAAAGGGGAATTCATCTAGTGGTAGCCGGCGCGGTCCCCAACAAGGGAGGTCTTTCAGGACATGGAGCGCTTTTTCGAAACGGTTTTCTGCATGTTGTGGGGGCTCATACGAGGAACACAGAACCATAATCCATTTTTCCTGAACGCCTCCAGGAATGTCAAAACATTGGTGAAGAAATGGTCCCGAGTTCGATCCCCGGTGATGACTAATTTTTGCAATATAGTTTGGCGGCCCCAGATTGCGGCCAAATGGATTCTTCGTCGTGAATATAGATTACATAACGGTCTGTGTGTTGCGGCATTTTGGAAGACACCCAAGTATGCATTGAAAAAAATTGCCATGACGGACGAATTTTCCGTTTCTTCTACCGTTGGCTCCTAAGGGCGTTCAGGAAAAATGGACCATGGTTCTGTGTTCCTCACATGAGAATCTACAAAACCTAGGTAACTATTTAGAAAAGACGTTCCATGTCCTGAAAGATCCTCCTTGTAGGGGTGCGGACCGACATACAATCGCAGCGAAGGATATGCGCCCGACGATCTAGCACGGCCCTTCAGCGGCGCTATCGGCGCAGTACGCCTCCCTCTCACTGTCTGATCTTCTAGCCGTTCTGCAGAGATAGGATAATAAAAGGATAAAGCATTTGCCGTTGATCAATCCCTTTTTGGGATGCGGCACGCATTCTACTTCCATTTGTACATTCGCAGTGGCATTTGAATGCGATGTGGCCTATACAATGACTTGCGGGGGCCAGCCGATGTACAAGTCAGTGTTTTTATCCTCCCAGACAAGTCTGGTACCAATTAACCGACCCCGGAGGGATGGAAGGCTTGGTTGGCCCGGGCGACTCACGACCCAGGATTTGATCCCCGGACCGCTCGCGTGGTAAGCGCGCCACTTGTCACTACACCACTTCCGCCCAAAGGTTGAATAAGGGAGCAACTAGGGAATGGATTGCATCATTTCATGGATGGGCCGGTATTTCGTGGTTTTTTCTTCACCCTTGCACCACCAACCTGCCTTTTCATTGTAAAACCGCCTTTAAATATGAGTACTTCATCCTCTCTCATTTTTTCTCGATAAACTTTTATCACGTTTTCTTCACAATACATATCATTATGAATACAGCGTTTAGGCATTAATGATAAGAAAGTCATAAATATTCCCCAGACAGACAACGGCAAGCTACCTCATCAGTAAGAACAAGCAGAACTCCAAGGCAATCTCATAATTCTCTAGTTGAGCTAAATAGTAATTTGTAGAGGCAGATTCATTTTGAGCAAGAGAACGCTATTGATTGATGACAAGTTGACCGAAGCGCTGTCACGAATACTCCGCAGGTTGTTCTTCCAAGCCTTCTTTAGAAAAGCCGCATACACTCTTCGGGTCCACTGCAACGTCAGCATCGTAGGACACCGTCGCGTTGACACTTCTGAAACGACTCGTTACTATGAGTACATAAAATTATGGGAATGCTTTGTCTCTAGAAGTAAATATTTGCCCGGTACAGTATCCGCATGTTTTCCGACAGATTCTGAACGCAAAAGCCGAGTGTTCGCAGGTGAATCCGCTGCGACTCCATCCGCCTTGTCTGGAAGCGAACGCCTCACAAAATGCGCTTCCATGTCGATCGAAGCATTGTGACGAATCGGCGTTCAACAGCAGTTCTTCCGCATCTCTCTTATAAAGATTTGCAGGAACCGGCAACCCTGAAATGACTTTGAAAATTTTGACCAGAAGAAGATTAAGAGAGAAATCTACGCCTTAAACAATAATATGATCGAGCTAACATAAAGTTCGTTAGAAAGGTAAGGTACAGAGGTTTACTTGGTCCTCGTTAGTGGATCAACTGTGCTAAGTTTCCTTCCTGATTCTATCCATGAATGCAGGAAAGGGAATAGGGTTACTCTTTTATCCTGTAGTTTTAATAGTTCCGTAAAGATAATAGGGCTACCGTCCTCATTGGCTAACCACAGCGTTTTCTATTGTTTGTTCTTTCTAA